GGGGGGGGGGGGGGGGGGGGTTGTTACACCTACTTCTGGGGAACTTTCCTCTTTTTTTTTAATGTTACTGTATCTAGACCGCAATTTCTCGGTATTCTCGTGAAATAAGATTGGGTATAGAAGTTGCTTTGGTATTGTGATAGTAATCATTGACGTAGGCAGAAGCCAGCAAAAGCTTTGGAAGCAGACTGCCTATGGCAACCCATCTAGGCGTATATAATTTGCATGTCTGAGACATACAGTATTGATATGTGGAATCTTTTCAAACATCATATTCCATGAATAGAAGAGTAAAAGGAATGCGATCAATCATTCCCATCAGTAGTCTCGCATGACCGCAACCATTTCATCCAACCGAGCCACCTCCCCAAGCAACAAGGCCTCTTTAGCCTTCCACTGCTCCAACAGGGTCAACTCAGCCTGAGACAGATAGCGTTCCTCATTGCCCTTGACGTCACTCCGCTCCGTCTTCTCCAGGAACTCCTTGAGTCGGTTCCGCTCAAACCGCAGGCGTTGCATACACCTAGACATAGCCTTGTACGTGTCCTCCAGAATGCTGCTCCGGATGCGGTCCGGATCATAGTACCAGAGGTAGATCGTACGAGAGGGCTGTCGCTGTGCGTCTCGGGGGACTTCTTGCAGATCCACAAACCCACCGGACTGCATGCTAGCGAGGACTTGACGCAGGTCTTTGAAGGGGAGAAGACTGATCTCCTGTAGGCGCTTCTCGTCGAGCTTGCCCTTGGCGTGGAGTACGCGGATCACTCGTAAAGCGACGTCGCCATAGCGGGCTTCAATCATTCGTTCCAGTTCTAGGTGGCGGAGCTTGCGCGCTAGGTGTCGGAATTCGACGGTCCAGGTAATGAGTCCGGAAAGTACGCGCTTGGATGTGAGGTTGTAGGGGGGCTGCGAGAGCAGAGAAAGGTGTTGGTCTACCTCGTAGGTGCGGCTGGGGGCTTCTGATCCTTCACGGTCGGTTCCATTGACACTGTCCTCCAAAGGCCGTTTCCCGCGTTTGTTGATGGCCTGTGATATCTCCATGGGACCTATGGAGCCTGCAAGGTCCAACTGCGGGTCGACTTCTTCTGTCACCGCACTAAGCGCGATGGGGACGGAGTATTGCTCGCCCTCCTCTCCTTCGCGGGGTATCTCAGCACTATCTCGGCATTGTTTGGTTTGGTATTCTATGCGTCGTAGGAGGCCCTCGTAGACCTGTGCGGTAACTGGCGATGAGTTCATCTCCGCAAGATCCAAAAACCGTCGATTCCGAAGAGCAACGTCGAGTTTCTCGTAGTTAACGCGGACAACAATTGCCAACTAGATTGAACAAACCAATTAGTCAAACAGACATATAAAGGAGAATAACGCAGAGTCTCACCTCCATGGGAGTGGTATCCCCACCCATCTCGTCATCCGACCATTCGTTCTCCTCCTCATCCTCATCCTCATCAGCATCGACGTAGTCCATTCGTGCTTTTTTGTTTGTAGCATCTGCAGACCCGGTACCATGCCTTCTCTTCGCACCCCGGGGTAACCCGTTATGCATGAGTCCGCGGGTAAGATCCCCATCAAGTCTTTCTTTCAAAAGAGTAACAGTCCCTTCCAGGACTGTTTCGTCCAGCTTCTTACCCTTTAGCTGCTTGACATCAGGTCGCGACTTGATGGCACGTTCCGCATCCAGGGCGTTATCAGCGTAGCTTTGGAATTGCGCATCGCGCACACGAAAGATATAACCGTGGGAAGCCAGTGCTTTCAGAGTAGGATGTAGAAGCGCCGGCTGGTCGGAGGTGTGCACATCATCGCCATTCATTTGTTCTTCGGACTCTCCACCTTTGGCTTCCTGTTTCACGCCATTCGCTTTAGGTGGTGCGGGTTGCAGTTCAGGGAGGGTCTTGAGGTAGCCGACTTGTGCGTGTCCGAGAAACATAATGGTCTCCATAAGGGTAGCCGCATACTTCCCAAGCCGTTCTTCGATGAACTCCAGGATCTTGCCGGAGCGAACAAGATAGTACGCAGCCTGCAGGTTTGGTTCGTAATAGGTGACGCCATCGTCGTAGGATGTGTAATGGTACACCAGGTGGTGTTGAATCATGGCAGATAGACCATGACGAAGTTGACGATCGGAGAGGCGCGAGTAGAATTTTAAACGAGGTAATGAGAGCCGGTCATAGCGCTGGAGGGTTGAGAAGATACGCTGGCGAAGACGGATAACGGTCAGCCTGTTGCTCGATGTGGCCCGCAATTTGACACCGACTATATGGTTTTTCATGAATGCAGCGGGTTACCAAGTGAGCAAAAGCGAGCATACCGCAAAAAGCTCCCCGAAATTATCCTCGACCAAGAGCGCACATAGCTCCGCCGCGTACTGTTACTCAGATCATTAGCAGTGGTACAGATGAGGGGCGGGAAGAGAGGGGAGGGGGAATTGATCGCATACTTGAGAAGTCATGATGAATGGCTTCTAGAGAATGCGAAAAGCTTCAATTCTCTAGAAGGAGGGGAAGGGTCACCGGGGGAATCGCATGAGGTAAAGTGCAAAAAGGGAACGACAAGCGCGAGATAGAGAAGCCGGAGCAACGAAGATCAAGATGGGGGGATACTTTTTTTCGGCAATCGGAGAAGGAGAGGAAGCGCGCGATCTGCAAAATGTCATGGTGATTTTAAGCCTGAGGCATTAACTTTCTTGCACGGGACACTGCTCACATAAGAAATCAGGTGACCCGGAGGACGAGGAAAAGCCGGTTCCGCCCGCACTCGCATTTCGGGCCAATCACGGGGCGAGTAATCAAGACCAGCCGGCATCTTGAAGCTTTTCAGACATCGTTTCTGATCCGCCCAACGACCGCCAGCAGCCTTTCCCTGCTCCCACTCCTCTCAACCCTCCCAATTGCTGTCGAGCTTCTCGGCTAACCACTCTCCTCGCCCTCCTCTATCCCTCTCACACATGCGATGATGCTGTCGCGGTCTACTTTCAGCCGAAATGCGCCCCGTGCGCTCCAGAAGCAGTGCTCTGCTACTGGCGTCAGCAGCCGTCGGGGCATGGCCTCTGCTGCCACTCCTGGTCTCCAGTACGATGTCTCTGAGTCTGCTGGTGTGAAGGTCGCCAACCGGGAAGTTGCTGGCCCTACCAGCACTCTTGCTCTGGTTGCAAAGGCCGGTCCCCGTTACCAGCCCGTCCCTGGCTTCTCCGATGCCCTCGAACAGTTCGCTTTCAAGGTTCGTCCTTCCTGGCTTCGATCCCACGTCCACACTCTCTACCACATTCCTCTTTAAGGCAAATACTAACCCATTCTTCTTCTCAATTGACAGTCTACGCTGAAGCGCTCGGCACTGCGGATCAATCGGGAAGTCGAACTGCTGGGCGGTGAAGTTTCCTCTACACACTCTCGCGAGAACGTCGTCCTCAAGGCCAAGTTCCTCTCGGGCGATCTCCCCTACTTCGCTGAACTTCTCGCCGAGGTTGCTTCTCAGACCAAGTTTGCAGGTGAGTAAGGAGACAACGGGAACAAGCCGCCCCCCCTTCCCCCCTCCAAAAGTCAGACGAACCGGTCTAATTCGGCTTCTCAGCCCACGAGTTGAGCGAGGTTGTCCTCAAGACCCTCAAGTACAGACAACAGGCCCTTGCCGCCAACCCCGAGGCCGTCGCTGTCGATGCCGCTCACGCCGTCGCTTTCCACCGGGGCCTGGGTGAAAGCATCACCCCCTCGACCACCGTTCCCCTCGAGAAGTACCTCTCCGCTGAGGCTCTGGCTGAGTACGCTCAGCAGGCCTTTGCCAAGTCCAACATCGCTCTTGTTGGCAGCGGTGCCAGCTCCGCCGACGTCTCCAAGTGGGTTGGTGACTTCTTCAAGGCTGTCCCCAGCGGTGCCCAGCTCCAGAGCGCTGCCTCCAAGTACTACGGTGGTGAGCAGCGTATCTCCACCAAGGCCGGCAACGCCCTTGTGATTGCCTTCCCTGGCTCTGGTGCTTTCGGAACCTCTGCCTACAAGCCCGAGGCCTCTGTCCTTGCTGCCCTCTTGGGTGGTGAGTCCTCCATCAAGTGGACCCCCGGTTTCTCCCTCCTCGCCCAGGCCACCCAGGGCTTCTCCCAGGTCCGTGCCTCGACCCAGAACCTTACCTACTCGGACGCTGGTCTCTTCACCATTGCTCTCTCCGGTAAGGCCGACCAGATCACTTCTGCTGGTAAGAACGCCGTCGACCTTCTCAAGAAGGTTGCCGCCGGTGAGATTGCCGGTGAGGAGATCAAGAAGGCCGTTGCCCTCGCCAAGTTCCGCGCTCTCGAGTCCGCCCAGACCCTTGAGACTGGTCTCGAGGCTACCGGATCCGCTCTCATCAACGGCAGCAAGCCTTACCAGATTGGTGAGGTTGCTCAGAGCATTGATGCCGTCACTGAGGCTCAGGTTAAGGATGTAAGTTTACCTATTTACCTCCCCTTGTCTTCTCTGGGATCAATTTCTTTGGAGAGTAACGGCTAATGTTTTTGTACACAGGTTGCCAAGTCCTTCCTGTCTGGCAAGGCCTCCGTCGCCACTGTTGGAGATCTCTTCCAGCTCCCCTACGGCGAGGACCTTGGTCTGACTGTTTAAACATGTATACAATACATATTAGACTGGCTTTGGAAAAAACCGAACACCCCCTTTTTTTATCATGTGTCTAGATCGACCTTTCCGCAGATATTCTCTTTTGTGATGTGGCTGTAGTTGTGTGTCTGTAATACAATTGTACCTTAACCCATCTTTGTTCAATACCTCTCTCGCTGCGATGTAGGCTGCTTGCAGTATATTGTGGATAGTTTGAAAAACCCAATTTGCAAAATGCAACCAATCTTATTTCTCTGGTATGAAATTTCCTCCTGTTGCCCCTCGCTATTACTGTATTCAATAAACGGAGAAATATCAAGTGGCATTTATATATAAATGATCTTAGTACGTCCAGTAGAGTACTAGAACTATTTCATAAACATCCACCCCGACATATAACTCGGTAGTAGTTAATGGCCATTTCGTTTCAATTCAATTCTGCACTACGTGATAACCCCAACATTGAATTATCGATCAGAATCCCAATATTCCGATACACAAAGCATGCCTGAGAACCTACTTGAACAGATTTGTTCACAACAAGACCAAACAGCTTAGCTGGCCGATAGTATTCAGAACTACTAACCAATTCTACTGTCTGGACATTGCCAACGGAATATAATACCAGCATCAATAGTAGATCGACTGCGATTCCACCCCCGAACTCAGGTAGCATATAACACATATCATACATACTACACTACTATTAGAACAAATTAGTATCAACGAAATGGGCCAGTGTTCACATAGTAATACAATACCTCCTGTCTCACCTACATATCTATTACTACTAACTACTCGTACTGACCTAATACCAAGTCCCTACTACGCTACCACTAAAACATCACCAAGGTCCCCCCGTCTTCCTCCCCGACTCCCTTCATGATGAAACAACCATAGACAACTCAATAACAAATAGCCAATTATGGACCAGTTTCTTCATAACAATGTACTATAAATAGAGCCATTGATTTGTCCTAGAACTCACTGGCACTGACTGATTAGGTACCGTTCCTACATACCCAGCTCCGATCAACAACGCGAAGACACAGCCAGTCAATAAGCGAATAAATAGATAGATAGATAGGTATCGAAACCAAATCCCACACACGTGCGTACGACACCTATAATCCTCATCACATGACCTAGACTGGAACGGGGATGCCACATATGCAGTAAACCAGTACATGATTAGTGAGACACGCCGTCATAATCATATGCAAGCCATGACTGGGATGTTCGGAGAATAGTTACCGTAGATGGCTCACCGAGAAATATAATGTATCATCATCCATACAAAAGCACATACATACTATACTAGTCTATATTATCATCTGCGGCATCGGAGAACGCGGAAATTTTTGATTCGAGAGGGGGGGAAAGATCCGTATTTTGAATACGTGCATACTAGTTTATACTATGCTCTAGTAAGATGGTGGGATGGTAAGGCTGGCTGTGTGTCAGCCAGCCGGCTCTGGAAATCGGGGTTTGGAAGAGATAAAACCCGCACAATATGACAGATGACGGACGGACGGAGTGATTTTCATTCTCGTTCAATGAATGGCCCGGTACCTACTGTCTCGGTAGCTGTGTGGGAAGGGGGGAGGACTTGCGCACATTCCGAAATTCCGAAGGAGCCGTTGGCTGATTAGAGACTGTCATTCCCCAGCCGCAAAAGGGCAGGATGGGCTTTTACGCCAGAGGTGACTACTCGGTAGGTAGATAGTAGCGAGCTTGTGAATTTACCTAGGTATGTGGTGGCTGGCTCTACTGTTGTATCTATTCCACTCCGTCCTTCCTCGGTAACACGGGATGTGTAAATATGATGAATAGGGAAAAAGCATAACAAACAAATTAACGGTGTCAGAACACAGCTGGGCAACTGTGGGTGCGTATTTCTCCGATGGAAAGCCAACATATGGTCATGAATGGCCGGCCTCATGGTAAATGAAATATATTAACATTATTATGCTAAGGTAGTTTGGTTTCATAATACTTTCTTGCGGCATGCTCGGCACTATGCATAGCTAGCTACGGACCGAGCAAGTTCCACACCATATGGGTAAGATTATCTAGCATCCGCTCCTCCGACCGAGACTGCGCATGGCAGAAGGGTATCTCAAACCTTCTCTAGTGCTTAGCGGTGACTTTGTCGCCCGTCAGTTTTTCGACTGCTTCCTTGGCCCTGTTCGGGGTAACGGAGACCCACACGTTAGCTCCAGTTCACTCCTCGGTTATCACATGAAGATCGGGGCGCCACCCCCATAGGAAGTGCTCCGCCCGGGGTATTGATAATGCAAGAGAGGGGAAAGTTTGTTCCACTTACATGTCACCAAGTGCCACCATGCAGACGGTCTGCCAGATTCCCAGACCCACACGGGGTGCCACACCCCGGTACAATCCCTTGATGCCGTTGTTGTCGTAGATGTACTTGGCGGCCTTGCCCACGGTAAGGTTCTTGGGGCGGTTGGGGTCATCAGTCTTGCTCTGCATCTCGACACGGATCACCTCAATGGGCTGGTTCCAGGCAGAGAGACCACCACCGAGACCGGAAGCCAGGATCTTCTCAAATGCATTGAGCTTCTGACCCTCCTCCTTGTTGGTGACCCTGCGAATAGCGGTTTCAGCCAGGCGAGAGAAACCGAAGCGGGATCCCCAGTTGGTGGTCTGGCGAATGGCAACGGCGTTGACACCACGGTTGATACCACGAATGCCCTCCTTGCGGTAGATATCCATGAAAGTCGCGAAGGTGCTGGGGGGCTTGACGCCCTGGGCGGCCATCTTATGCTTGGTGATCTCGACTGTCTTCATGCAGGTACAGAAGCCCATGGTCGCGTATGCCTGTGCAATACCACCGACCATACCTCCAGCGATACCGGCGGCGAAGTCGGGCGCACCAAGCACCTTGGCACGGAATTCCGCCTCCGATGCGACGAAGAGGAGGACGGCGCCCTTAGTGGAGGCCTCAATCCAGGCCCACGGAATGAGACCTTGATAATCTAAAGTAGGTGACTAGTGTCAGACAATGCCACCCCACACTAGTCGGAAAAAGCGAACAAGGCGGAAGGAGCACTTACAACCGAGGATCCCGCCACGGCCCCAAATTCGACCCATAGCACCAGCGAAGCTATCGCCCCGGTTTGCAGCCATGGTCGTCTTGATCACTTCCAGCGGCTATAGGAACTGAGTTAGCATAAGCCGACAATTGCCGCCTCGGTTATTGCTTCGTACCTGACCCAAAGTGGTGACCCTATTCCATGTTAGTTATGGAAACGCACGGTGCATTGATTGGGAGCAGGTGAGAAGGGAAAACATACTCGAAGAGGTTCAATCCAGCACCCACTGTAACAAATGCCATCAGAACCAATTTCCCTCAAAATATAACCGTCCGGGGGTTGCAGCAGAGATTACATACGTAGCAGGTTGCTGAACTTCACGGGCTTCTTTTCGAGCTTGTTCTGGCCAGTGGCGGCCGTCGCGGCAGTAGCGGTAGACATTTCTGACCTTGGGAGCGCTGAAAGGGGCCCTGACCAAGGGAAATCTGGGGGCTTCGTCGCCTTAAGGGATCACGAAGAATCGAAAGATAGTCTGCAGGTCCGGAACGTCAAGGACGAACGACCAGAGCGAAATGGGTTGAGAGTAGGGAAGAGTGGTTTTGTTGGTTCGGATGGAGAAGTCACTGGTGAGGAGGACAGGCCAAGTAAGCAGGTAGCTCCGGGGGAAGGTTTGAGTATATGTACGGTAGGAGCAGGAAGTATGTATGTATGGATGAAGATGAGGGAAGAAGATGAAGGAGAGAAGAGGAGGGAAAAGAGAAGAGAGGTATGAAAATATAAGAAGGATCAACGAGGGGGTGGGATGGGCTTCCAGGCAGAGCATACGTACCTCTCGATTCAGATGGTGGTTTTTTTTCTCCCAATTGCAGGTCAAAGAGTTGCTTTTTTTGTCTGGCGTGGGCGCATCCAAGCACTCCGTACCAAGGAGTACTCCGTAGTAATGAGCACACTCACCACCGCAACAACCAGGAACCCACTGAGATCCAATCACCGCCCGCCATCGGCCGATTGGGGATAACACTAAGCCCGATCAAGGCACAGAGGTCACTAGCCTGCTTCGGGCCCGGCGGTGAGCCACAGCCGAGGGCTTCAGTTGAGGCCCGGAGCAAACCGGGCTCCCCCCCAACAAACACCCTGGAGCTGCATTCATTTTCCGAAACGGTTGAGAGGGTCGATCGGGGGGACCCACGTCCAGCTGGCCCTGGAATGATAGTAGACCCAAACTATCTATTCACGGAGTATCTATCTAACTCCTACAATACTAATAATAATTATTATTATAATAATAATAATAATAATAATCAGAATAACAACATCTAGAATCTCTCTACTACGTACTTGGTACCACAAAAGGGAGGTCAGTACTAGTTACGGAGTAGTCCCGCCCCTCCCCCATAGCAACCACGATCATGGGAGGATGAGGAGGAGGATCCGACAGGATCTCTGAACACGCCCCGGACTACGGCGCCCGTAGTTAGTAGTTTGTGTATATGCTTGTCTCATACGGAGTACCTCATCATTCCCTTCAGATACCTCCGGAGTAGACCATGGATTGACTATCTAGATAGTCCTTACTCATCTGACTCCCAGTCTGCCTTACCTCACTGTCCGTACGTAGCTCGTATTGTTCCGCTTGGCCATGGAGTGCTCCGGAGATCACCCACGGCACCCCGAACCTCTGCAGTTAGCGTTGGCATAAGTATCTAGACAACTCGAATGTCCAATTCATTCTCCGAATCCTGATTGAAACCCAATGCATCTTCCACATTATCCTGCTGCCTTACTGGCTATGTTGTTCGACGATCAGTCCGCGGAGCTTTTTCCACCTTCGGTCTGTGATTTGACCGATATGCAGACCTGCAGTCAGCTCGACACTGGTGGCACTAATCACGTATGTTTCTCGACCGCGCCGATCCCACTCCTCTTGCTCTCTCCCTGGCTGATTCTTATCTTCGGCATCCGACTTGCAATGTCAGCTTGCCCCTCTCCGCCCCCCTTACGCTTACTTGCCTGTCACTCCGCGACACTGTCCCGGGATCTCATACGAATTCGAAAAAAAAAAAAAAAAAAAGAGTTAGAAGACGATTGACTTGGAATTTCTCAAGTGCTGTTTGTTACAAGGCCCGCTCGAACCGTGTCCTATCATACATTAATCGAACAAACCCCAACACTTTAAAACATCCCCAGTCACAAAAATACTAAACCAGAACAGGGTAGGCATAATACAAGATGCTGTGTTTATCGTAAAAAGAAATAAGAATCACCTCCGGTTTTTCATGTCATCCCAAACTCATTTACAGCTTAGCACCAACAAGCTTGGCGAAGGCCTCGGTGCTGTAGGACTTGGGGCGCTCAATGGGGGCACCAAGGGCACGGTCGATGATCAGCTGGGGAAGGACACCCAGAGCACGGGAAACACCGAAGAGGACGGTGTAGTAGTTGGCCTCAGTCAGGCCATAGTACTGGAGGAGGACACCAGAGTGCTACATACCGGTCAGTATACTGGTCGCGCATGCAACGGGGGCGCAGGTTCATGAGGCAACTTACAGCATCGACGTTGGGGTAGGGGTTCTTGGTCTTGCCGTGCTCGGTCAGGACACCAGGAGCGATCTTGTAGACCTGGCTGACCAGCTTGAACATGGGGTCATCGGGCAGCTTGCGAAGAGCGAACTCGCGCTGAGACACGTAGCGGGGGTCGGTCTTACGAAGGACGGCGTGACCGTATCCGGGAACGACCTGGCCGGCGTTCAGGGTGGACCAGAGGTAGTTCTTGATGGCCTCGTCGCTGAGGTCGTTGCCAATGGCGGCCTTCATCTTGGTGAGCCAGTTAAGGACTTCCTGGTTGGCCCTATGCGATTGGAAAAAGAAACATTAGCGAAAGCACTTCAATCTGACGTACATTAAAAGAATTGAAAAACTCACAATCCGTGGAGAGGTCCAGCCAGACCGTTCAGACCAGCAGCGAGAGAGAGCATGGGGGAGCTCAGAGCGCTACCAACAAGGTGGGTGGTGTGAGCACTGACGTTGCCACCCTCGTGGTCGGAGTGGATGGTCAGGTAAAGACGCATGAGCTCAACGAAGTCGTTGTTGTCGCCGTAGCCGAGCTGGTTGGCCAAGTTGTAGGAGTAATCCTTGTCCTTCTGGATAGGAGCGACCTTGCCATCCTTGAAGACGTTGCGGTAGATCTTGGCAGCGATGGTGGGCAGCTTGGCAATGAGGTCCATGGAGTCCTCGAAGGTGTAGTTCCAGTAGTCCTTCTTGTTGATACCCTTGGCATAGGCCTTGGCGAAAGCAGACTCGTGCTCAAGAGCGGTGACGGCCAGAGAGAACTGGGACATGGGGTGCAGAGTGCTGGGGCAGCGGTCGATGAGCTCCTCAATGAACTTGGGGAGGTCGGAGCGGGCAGCCCACTCAGCAGACAGATCGCGGACCTGCTGCTCGGTAGGGATCTCGCCAGTCAAGAGCAGCCAGAAGAGACCCTCGGGAAGAGGCTCCTGACCACCGGGAGCCTTGGGGAGGAGCTCCTGGCACTCGGGGATCTAAAGTACTGTCAGTATACATTTCAAATTGTGTTTTAGTCACATGCAACTTACGGTACGGCCACGGAAACGGATACCCTCCTCAGAGTCGAGGACGGAACCCTATGAAAGTCAGTTAGATAGTCTCCTCAAAAAAATATTGGCCAGGCTCCTCATCATACCTCCCACACGAGGCACTTGACACCACGGGCACCACCATAGGCCTGGTCAAGAGTGACCTCGCCGATGACCTTGCTGCCGTGCTCCCTACACACATTGATTGACTGGTTAACAACACCTGCTGTAGACAAAAGGGTCGAATAGGGAGCTGTGCGTACTTGCGGAGCTTCTTGACCTTCTCGATCTCGGCAGGGAGCTTCTCAGCGAAAGTCTCCTTCAAGGACTATAGAAGGGAGAGGCATCAGTATAAATATCCGAGGAATGACTGTTATCGAGGTAGAACGAACCTTGGCCTTGCCAGTAGAGTAGCAGCGCAGGCCATTGAAGGCAGCGGACTGAACAACCGGCTTAGCGGCAATGGAGGTGGAACGGAGAGCAGAGGTGCCCAGTCTCAAGGTGGAAGCCATGGCGAATGTGAACAACTTGCAGTAAGTTGAGTGGTTGGAAGAAGAAAAGGAGAGGAGAGAAAGAGGGTATATCAGGACACGGTAGAGAAAAGAAAAAGGAAGATGGGCCGCACGGTGTTCCCAAGTTATGGAGAAGCTCTTTTGCGCGGCCCTTTTTTTCCATCTGGCCGTACCAATACAGCCGGTACGCGGACTGTACGGTAACACACGGCAACGCCGCAAGGTAATGGTGGGCGGCTGTATCTTACGGTCACACTAGTCTCAACCTGGCCGATATCCCGAGTCTGAGCCAGGATTTCGGCGCGCTTTCCAGCGGCAATCAGAAGGATCCATCATGTTTTGGTAGTGACCCTTACCCGCTTGATTCCGTTGTACGGAACGGAGTCCGGAGTAAAATCCTCTCTTTCCTTGCGTTTTGTTTCTTGGTCTGTGTGTCCTTTTTACGCTATGTATTTATCACTACCTTTTAGAGTTCTACCATGTCATTCTCTCATACTTGCTCGAGCTTATAGGGATCTGTTGAAAAGCAAAGACCAGAGCTGTCACTTGCTATCAAACGGTCATTCATGCATGTGCTGGAATATAGATATAGTCACTGTAATGCCGCCTCGGGCTACTATTATTGTGACGATCATCGGCGCCGTCTCATCCGTAAACGGAGTGCCACAGTAGAGCTGTTGGTCCATGGCTAGTGACGTCGGCAGTCGCCATCTCATCCACAATTTTGCCCACCCATTGAGTTTCCATGGGCGCGGATTTCCCCAGCCATAACAACAATACAAGTACGTAGTGGTAATACTTTACACCCATTGCTCGACATATAAGTTCATACCTCTACATGGTCAAGTGAATTTTTTTTTCATTGTTGCTGATTTGCATGGTCACAAGGGCGTACTCACCCGTGGAGGAATGGGGTGATTGCGGTTGGATAGTGAAGTAAGCAGTAAGGGAAGGTATCCAGATTCTGAGTCCTAGCCTGTAAGAACAGAGTTCTCATGGCTAACTACGTGATAAGTGTCTCCGTGTAAATGTTTCCAGGGGTTAATGGTGTACTCTGTAAGGATTCCCAAACGGTGGGACGGTCTTCATTTGTTGTGTAGAAAATCGGTTACCTAACATGATGGGGAAGCCCAGCGCATTACCTCATTCGACTCACCGAGCTGCGACTCATGCACTTGTTTCATGCTTTGGCTTGACTTATGTAATCATTGGCATATCTCCCTCAGATACACGTCACGTGCCAACGAGCATAGCTGGCAGCCTGAGGCAAAAGAAAAGAAAAGTGGCTGGGCATACCCGACCTCACTTGTTTTTAGGTGTTGCTGCCCTTTCGAGCCTAGCGCAGATATATGCTGATTTTTCTCCTCACCTGACTGACCACCTTTACTACCTTCTACGAAATCCCTTCCCTTTCAACTCCCCTTTCTATCCTTTCTTCATCTCTTCTGCACCGTTTCTCATCCCCCCACTCTTTTCTGCAGCAAAGTCGGCAACTCTGTAATATCCGCCTTTGCATCTTTTTCTTTGCGCTCAGCTCTTCGCTTTTTTTTAGGTCGTACTCTGTACACGTACTCGTTCGCGAGTTGCAAGGCCCTGGACAGCATCGCTTGGCTGTGCTCCAGCTGTAGGCGGAAGGCCCCCCTGGTCGCCAGAGTACGCTCGTGGAGTCTGTAGTGACACGACCAGAAAGTCCGCTTAGGAAATCACTTTTCCATCATATTCGAGAGGCCACGACCCTGCAGGTTGCTGATATACCTCTCTTAAGCATCATCGCCACCTTAGCTGCGCTGGATCTCTCCCAGTAGTAACAGCTTATTGGGAAAGTGGTACTATCCGGTCGCGTTTACCATATACTTGAGAAGCGATAGTATTAACAGAAAACTGTTGCGTGTATCCTGTTCTTCCCGTACTGGATTCGAGTCAACACCACAAAATCTCGTCCACCATGTCGTCTGCTGTAGCAGAACTGGATAACTACCTCCAGTCTATGCTGGCACTCAAGCCCCCGGGTGTTTCAGGCTCTAAGATTAACAGTATTACGTCGCTTTGCACGGCAAACGTTCAGGTATTACTTTCCAATTCCGCCATTATTATTAAAATGCTTTACCAATAGAATACTATGCTAATTCATGGTTCTTCTCTGCCACAGAATGAATCCGTTCTCATCCAGAAGATCTATACACACTTCAAGAAGGCACCAGGAACACACAAATTGGGCGTACTCTATGTCGTAGACTCTGTAACTCGACAGTGGGTAGAAGCAGCGCGCAAGGCAGGGCAGCCATCCGGTAGTGCTGCTCCCGATGGTACTTTCGCCGCTGGTGTCAACAGAGTGACCGAATTGCTACCCGTCCTCATGACGGACATCATAAACAACGCTCCTGAAGATCAAAAGGTACGCTCTAGATGCAATACGCATATTATATCATCCAACTTTCACAGTGATCGCGGGCAAGCATAGGGCCGATAGGAAGCCGGGGTTTGCTTTGAGGAACCCCTGGTGGTGGCCTGCTCTAAGAGTTGATATCCGTATCTCCTGCTGTATAGCCCAGGCTGCCATGCATAGTATTCGTGGCCGCTGTGCTTCCCCGCTATCTGCCTCATTTTTTTTCTCTTTTCTATCGTTGTCTGGTGACGAATAGTCCAACTTACGTATACGTCCGCCTCTCCTTATAGGAAAAAATCAAGAAACTGGTCGACATCTGGGAACGGGGCTATACTTTCCCTGCTCCCATGCTTGCCTCGTTCAAAGAGAAGTTAAACGCACCCCCATCACAAAGTAAGCAATATTATCCCCTCCAGCTGATGCTTCCTTGTATCTCGACATGGTTAAGCCGAGCGGCCCCTTAGAACCGCGCGTCTTGACTTGGAAAGTCGTTCTGGTATAGTCTCTAATCGTTGTTCTTTTATCTGCTCTTTAGATGTTGAATCCACCACCCCGGAAGGCTCGCCAGCACCCAACTACATTCCGCTGGGAGGTCAGCAACAGCCGCTTAACGGCGCCTCTTCGGCCCCCTCTGCTCAACAGGCGCCGGACACCTCCAGTATTCTAAAGGCTCTGGCCGACATGGCCAAGCAGAACACAACAGCCCCGGCAGCACCGGCCGTGGCGGCACAGACTAACCCTCTAAGTGCTCTGACCCAGCAAAGTACGGTTCCGCAGCCCGCGTCATCATCCGTAGACCAGGCTTCACAGCCCCCGAATGGACAGGCTGGTGTAAACCCGTATGCTGCTGCAAGCATGGCGACCCCGTTCGCGGGATTGAGTAGTGTTGCTCAGAACCCGGCATTGGTCCCGCCGCCGCAGACCCAGAGTCAGAGCCACACTCCCAACCCGTTGGCAGCAGCGCAAAACCCACTGGCCGCGCTACTGCCGCAGGCGACTGCAGCTCCGGCTCAGCCGACTGCCCCGATCGGGCCTGATGCTCTGCAGCAGCAGCTCCAGCTCCTGCAATTGCTGGCTGCCCAAGGCATTCCTCAAGAGCAGTGGGCCACTGCCCTGCAGATTCTCAGCCTGTCCAATGCTGCCAATATGGGTGGGATGACCGCCGGCCAGGCTCCGCCGTTCAACCTGCCCGGTCAGCCCGTCGCCAACGCTTGGGGCGCTCGGCCCGACTCCCAGTCACGTGAATTCGACCGGGACCGGGAGCGTGATCGCGACTACATGCGTTCCCCTCCTGGCCAGTACCGCCGCCGTTCTCGTTCTCCCGGTTGGGACAGGCGCCGTGAGGCCTCTCCTCCTCGTCGTCGCGATAGCCCTGTCTATGGTGAGTATCATGGGGACTCCCCGGGACGTCGCGGTGGAGACCCGCGCGGTCGCCGAGGAAATGAGTATCGCCAGCGCAGCCCTCCCGGACGTCGTCGTCGCACTCCCTCCCCCCCTCGCAAGGATCCTACCTTGCCTCCTCCGGGCCCCAAGTTTATTGAGTGGGATTACTCCATTGGCCAAGGGAACATTAAAGGTTTGTTTTGCCCGTACCTATCTCCTTTCTGAAGCCAACAAGGCCAGGAAACCAAAGTTCTCGATTGCTAACTGGCCGTTGTATAGTCCTAAGTCGTACTCTTTTCGTTGGTGGTGTTACGTACGTTCTCTCTCTCTATTGCCCCTCTCGGGCAACTACTGGACTATGTATTAACATATGCTTAGGTCCTCTGAGGCGCATCTCCGCTCTCTCTTCAGCAAGTTTGGAATTGTCCAGACGTGCATTGTCAACATTGACAAGCGTCATGCTTTCATTAAGATGATCAGCCGTCAGGATGCGGTCATGGCACGGGATGGCATGGAATCCTACAAGTCCGGCGACATGCAGCTCAGGGTAAGCTCCCAATTTGTCCCGTCATAGTTTCTTCCTAGGCTAACTTCTATCATAGACTCGATGGGGTGTGGGATTCGGTCCACGTGACTGCAGCGACTACCAAACAGGCATCAGTGTGATTCCGATTGAAAGACTTACGGAGGCGGATCGGAAATGGATGCTCACTGCGGAGTATGGCGGCACTGGCGGAAGGCCTATCGAGTCCGGAATGGTCGTCGAGGAGCCCGACATTGAGATTGGCGCTGGTGTATCCTCCAAAGGTTTGTTGGCACCATGTCCACTCTAAAATCATTTACCATGAAGCTAATGCTTTGCAACAGCTATCAGCAGAAGAATTGCTACCGACACTGGCGGCAAGCGCGGACCTGTTTCTTCCCGCACGCAGCAGGACCGATTCCGTCGTCCGGAACGCGATGGACCTGCCAACGGGATGGGCATGGGCGGCTCGGTGGAGCGGGATATACCCAATGCCAACAATGTCGGTGTCCCGCCTGCCGTGCCTGGCTTCGGCTTTTCGTTCCCCGGTATGCCCATGTTCCCTCCCGGCTTTATGATGGGAGGAGCACAAGCTGGATCCGGTGGTGCGGCACAGCCGCCTCCTCCAGGCCAAGGAAGCAATTAGCTATGAAGCGTACTATTACAACGACACTTAGCCCCTGCTCTCCGTCATCTCGTTCTTCCCTTGTTTTGATACCAATATTTTCTCTTCGTCTCTTTCTTTCTTGTCTCTCTACCTTTCCCCTTTCTTTCTTTTTGCAACGTTCTCATGTAAATTTGTTTTTGCACACCCCCCCAAAAAATAACCGGCGTTGGCGCTTTCGTATTCATTGTTTAGCGGAAGGCATACGCTTCATGAGTGGGCGTTTCTTAAGGCGGGTCAAGAGCACGGCATCTTCCATGTGGCTCCACAATGCACCCCCTTCATGTCTTTGTTCCTTCAGTTCGTCGCATAAACAGACGTCTCAGCAAACAGCGCTTGTTGGAGAAGTGAGTGGACCGAAGTTCGCTGGCTCGAACACTTACCGAACCATTCAGCGTCTCAGCTTGCTTCATTTGTTTTGCTATTACATTTTGTTTTATGTCTTCCCTATCTTCCTGTATTCGCAACCCGCTCATCTCTCTATGGGAATTGGGTGGCCCCAAGTGATGTGATGTATCACTCTCCTGCGTCTCTTCTGCCTTTTCCTTTCTTAGTCAAACGAAGAGCTAGTTGGACTGGCTGATAATTGCTTCTCGTGTTTCTCTTTTGCACCTGTGTTTCTTTTTTCCTATCTTCGCTTCCTGTGCATAATTGACCTCCCACTTATTTACTTGAATTCATAAGTTCCGAGATCTGATCCAGCTCTCTACCTGATGGTATCGTAAGCATCAACGTCCTTGAACACTTGGTACGTGCTACTCGCTGCTCTTGTAGTTTTTTTTATTTTTATGTTAAATTTTTTTTTTGGTGGTGGAGCAATATATTACGAGCTACTGTATGGCGAATGGTCGCTACGTATTATATGCTGGGTGCTTATCTTACCCTTCGAAGGTCTGTTTGCCCGTAGTATTTCATCCAACCTAGTAGTGACTTGTAATGCAGGCGCTCCATCCTGGCAGGCTTGTTATACATCTTATCCATTACCATCATGATGTGAGAATTTTATTAGAAGGTTTACGATGGGTCCGCTCCGTATGAGAAACCAGATGCTTCATATTGGTATCGTCTCGAAATCGTCATAGTTTCTCATAGACATGTCTGTTCCCGCTTGCGCAGTGAGGATTTTCCATTCCTGCTCATGCACGATGTCGTTTAGGGGTCTGCTTTAGGGTGTCTGGTTCGGCCCAATCCCCAAGTTCTTATAAGTCAGGCGCAGAACCAGCCACTGCCTCCCCAGCCAGCAACTCAAGGGCTCAGGTTTCGCCAGTGAGAGCATAGTTTACAGAGCACTAGCAGCCTTGAAAGACTGCTCAAAGTCGGCAATAATATCATCAATATGCTCGGTACCCACCGAGATGCGGATTCCATCCTCAGTGACTCCAGAGTCAATGCGTTCCTGCACGGTAAGCTGTTCATGTGTCGTAGACCAAGGGTGAATAGCGAGGGTTTTCATATCCCCAACACTGTAGAAGGTATAATTAGCAGCCGAAGCGTTCAAATGATTCCAGCCCCAACGCAGATGGACCTACTTCGCGAGATTGCTGATCAGCTTGAAGCCGTCAACTACCTGGCTGCCAGCGGCTGCACCTCCCTTAACCCCAAAAGAAAGAACGCCCCCAAATCCATGCTTGAGATAGCGCTTCGCGGTCTCATGGCTTGGGTGGTCCTCCAAGCCTGGGTATGAGACCCAAGAAACATTTTCATTCTTACGAAGCCAGTTGGCCAGTATTATAGCATTGCTTGCATGTCTCTCAGCACGTAAACTCAAGGTCTCGACGCCGAGTAGAAGCTGTTGCGCGGCAAAAGGGTTCAGTGCTGACCCAAGATCTCTCAAGATCTCCACTCGCACTCGAATGGCAAAAGCAAGGGGACCAAAGGTCTCCCAGAATTTCAAGCCATGGTAGCCTTCGGAAGGTTCAATAAACTGGGGGAAGCGTGCTGCATTCTTTCCCCAGTCAAACTTTCCGCTGTCAACAACTATACCAGCAACAGTGGTGCCGTGACCTCCAATCCACTTGGTGGCGCTGTGTACAATAATATCGGCGCCGTGCTCTATGGGACGGCAGTAATAACCGCCGGCGCCGAATGTATTGTCGACCTATATAAAACCCTAGTATAAGTTGCAAATTCTCTTCACAAAATTATATTTGCGCCCTAACAGACACTTACCACTAGGGGCACGCCTTTTTCGTGGGCTACCTTAGCGATGGCTTCGAAGTCGGGTACATTATAGCGGGGGTTTCCAATAGTTTCAACGTAGACAGCCTTAGTACGGTCATCAATGGCTGCAGCTATGGCCTCTGGGCTGTCTCCCTGGACAAACTTGGTTGTGATTCCCAATCGAGGGAATAGGACTTTGAATTGGTTATATGTGCCGCCGTATAGATTACTGGTCGACACTATATTATCGCCAACATGGGCAAGGGCAGATATGGCCATGAACTGTGCGGATTGACCCGAAGAGGCTGCGACGGCTGCGACGCCACCTTCAAGGGCAGCGATACGTTTCTCGAAGACATCCACAGTGGGCTTCCATGGATTAGTTGAAACTAGAACTCGCTGTCGATTCAATGCTTTAGGGGGATGTAAAAACTAGACTCACGTTCATAATCCGGCTATATATGTTGCCAAACTCTTTGAGACCAAAGAGTCTGGCGCCATGTGCGGAGTCATTGAAGGTGAAGGACTAACAGAATTCTGATCAGAATCAACTGCATATGAGACCAGAGCTTGAGGATATGGGCTTACTGTGGTTGCATAGATGGGTACTGCTCGCGAATGGGTCTCGGAATCTGGTTCATGACTTGGGAAAGAAATGTCAGCGCGAGGCTATGGTATGACAGGTCCATGGAGAGATCCGTATGCACATACCCCGCATGAAGCTGTAAAGTTTCGAAATGGGGCTGCTTAGGTTCAGACATGATGCTGCTTCTTAAATGGAACGCTATCCTTCAACTTGTATGTTCCCTAGTAAAGCAAGGACTCAATAGGGAGGACAATGAGGGAACAAATTGGCCAAAGTGGGGGAAGTATAATGGGAAGTTGTTGAACACATGCTCGCATTGTGGTAGATCTACCGACGACTAAGCAATTGGCGACGATGATGGCGTGATTTGATGGAGCAGAACAAAGGAGGGAAAGGCGGGGGAGGCGACGAATCCCGGACGCTAGGAATTCTAACCATCAGAAGCAACTACTACTTACTATCTACTCGGCACTGATCTGATGCGCCATGTTACTAGTGGTCTATATACTTCTAAGCCCTGCTACTATATGCCTATGTAGACACCAATCTGCCACCAACATAGCTTGATTAACATGGAGTACTACTTACTTTGTAGTATAATCTATTGTTTGTATACACACTCACTTGGCTCCTCCGGGCGCTAAAAGCGAGGCCCACATGTTGAACCGGATGTGCCTGATTTCTCCGCCCAAAACCTTTCCAACAACTTGCATTCTGCACGCAGGCTCAGACAATTTGCCTAGTGGGCATAGCTATCTAGTACCTATAGATCGGTTCCTGAATTAAGAAAGTTGTACTTTGTATGACTCTTATGTTCACCATCGCACCCAGGAGGATATATAAATGGACACAAGAATCTATGTTTGCATCATTTTAAACAACATAGCTAACGCGGGGGATCTCCGTCTCCTAGATCTTCTAGATACTAATTATGGAAGTTGCTGCCTATACTTCTTGCAACTAATGGAGAACTGTGTAGTGGGCGTCATGTGTTTGCCCTCAGGGTCCAGGTGGCATCCCTTGGCTGTGTCTAGTGCCACCAACTCACTACTAGGCAGACACCTCAGCCCTGTTTTACACTGTACAATACCTTCTGTTTTCTCTCTCTCTCTCTCCCCCCCCCCCCCCTTCTTACTATTTCTCACTATTTCGAAAATAACTTATGAGATCATCGCTTGCTTGGCCTTTTCCCTAGTCACCAATCCCAGCAAGCCATTGGGCCGAGGCACTCGCGGCCAGAGAAGCAGCCCGTCCCGTTCAATCCAGCAATGCAGGCGAGTTTCACAAGCTCACTGAATTTCCTCTATTTTAGCTTCGTGAAAGCGTCGGGATCTGCGACCGATGCTGCAGGCGCTGCGAATCAAAAAGTTCCAATACGCGATGGCCCTCGGAATGATGACGGTATTTTCTTTCCAAGTATTTCTGCTGTGTACTTAAGTACACTACTTTGCTTGGATGGGCAGGCAGCTCCGAAACTCCCCAGCCCAACTGGCGGTCTGAGAGATTTTGTTGGACTCTTGTTACTGCGCCACCAAGTTGTCTAATCGAGACTGAAGACATAAGTCTTCTGCCTGCATGTGTGTGCATTGCTAGTTCTTTCAAACGTTGAAGAAGAGACAGGAATAGCACAAGTGAAGCAAGGTACGTACCTAGAAGGTCAGTCACTGCCTGCCCGTCAGCCCACACACACACCCACGTCACAGCCTCTTAAGCGCACACTGGCTTGAGAACTTGAAACAGCGTCCGCCTGTGCAACAGCATGTGACTTGCCATCGTTCAGGCGCTATGCGCTCATAATGGTTCATTCCATCCAACGTATTTGAAAGCCATTCGTGTCCTCCATACCATTCGTTTTTCTAAGCATCAGCTAACCCGCAAGATTTCATCAGAAAGAGCTGCGACGCCGCGCAGACTGAGAGTAGCAGATAGGACATCTACTAACATCATCATCAACGCGGGCTCCCAATATCAGCCATGGCTGTGAATTTTCCATGGATCTACCCTGTTCGGGTAATCCAGGCCATCTTTGGAATAATCGTCCTTGCTTTAACCGCATACTGTTCGTCAAGTCATTCCATCACACTTCAAAGAAGAACTGAAAATAGCTGACATATGACAAGACATCAGTTGGTTTGCGTATAGCAGCGATTCGCCCAATTTCATGCTTTTCGTTGCGTGCTGGACAGCCTTCATCGCAACTCCCTATCTTGCCTTGGCGCCAGTATTCTTCCCCCAGTTGGCGCATCGGATCGTCATCCCAGCTGTCGAAGTGATTACCATGATATTCTGGTTCGCAGGATTCATCGCCCTAGCTGTATTCCTTCCACCAGCAGAAGCCTGTCACTGGAGCCGTTGCAGCGCATTACAGGCCGCAACCGTGTTTGGTGCACTCGAGTGGTATGACTCCCCTCTGATCAAGATCGCCATTCTTAGCGCTCTAGCGGAAAGGTTCAACACTGTATTTCGGGACATGAAGGATGTCGTTGATGAGCATTGTTACTAACATGGATTGCGTAGGGTACTATTTCTGGTTACTTCCGTTTTTGCTGTCCTCGGCATTTCGCGTACCCGGTCCAGCTCCAGTACGAAGCCCACCCCTAACGATCATACCCACGTTGGCGTCTAAATGGAGTCGGTAGTGACGGTTCCATGATACATTTCTGAATAAAAGTACAACAACTATTCGGCTAGCGGCGGAGAAAGCCCTGAATTAGCCGGCAGTATGATGATGACGTCATTCTTTTTCACGACTACTACTTCATCAGTTGATTCAGGTACAGCGAGGTTGACGACGGTAATGATGGTAAATGATTTGGAATACTCGGAGGATAGAAGGATATGGACAAGCAGCTGACTATAGCCGTGCTTTCTGTTTTCGATCGTTGACTGCTTTGTTCTGGTCTAGGCAGGATACCCATGTGTTACTAGTTACTAGGGGACTTTGATCGCCATATACTACTACTTAGTCCTAGGACACCTTGACATGTGTTTCATTAAGTCATAATATTCAGCTCGTTGTCCGGTCTCTTTCCCCATCAAAAAGCCAATAGTAAGATACGTTTAAATATTGACGTCTTTTTCAAATTTGACCTGATGCAACAATCTGAGGAAGGAGCGGCCAAAACTGTCAAAGGCAAAGTACCACGGAAAAGAGGCCGCGCGACAGGCATAAAAACCAGATATGCCGCCTTGATAGCTTACTGGATGGATGGGCTTAGAGTTCTCCATCTGTTAGCAAATTAGCTTTGCTTACATTCGATCCACTGGGAGAACCCACAGCATGTCGAAAAATGATAAGCTTTTTAGTGAACTACCTGCGTGTCACTTTGTATTGTCATTGACTCATTGAGACGCTATCAGCGGATGACAGGGATTGGCATTTGCACCGATGATTCAGTTGTTGGATCATGAGATTGATCAATAGGATTATGAATAATATTGAATTGTAAAGATAGATGAAGGTGAAACTTTTACCTACGTGATCATCAGGACACACAATGCTGGTACGTAAATACGAAGATGAAAGGAGAGAAAAAAGCAAGGCCGTCTTTTGAACGAGCAGCTCCATCAGATGTTTCGAATCTCGACGAAATTATCTTGTCTCCGGCAAATGTGCCAATGATCTATTCGGGATCCGACGGTGACTGGGACGGGTCCGTGGTTCATTGCACCGCGAATATCCGTCCGCTCAACGTTCCAGAAGAAATTCAAGAGAGAAAGAAAATAGGAAAAAAAAAAAATTTCTGCAACGGAGTAGGGCTGGCTGACTCGGATCTCGCCGATTGGCTTTGTACTATTTTAGCAGACGTGTCCCTGGGCTCTAGTAAATGAGGAGAACTTTGGAAAAAAAAAAAAAAAAAAAAAAAAAAAAAAAGGTGTGTGGTGGATAATGATAGTTCATTTGTTAGTGGAGTGGACAACCGTTGAGTTGGAGAGCGCATCAGGCCGGGTAGATACTAGATAGATGCTTTGTATATATATCTATGTGGGAATTCAAAGTATGTTCTTAAGAGGCGGCAGTAACAACCAACCACCACTCAATTGCATTTTAGAATTACTATTCTGCCGAGATATCATTAGTATGATTTTTTCCTTTGCCACCACGCGACGTTGTGGGAGGAGCAGGCGTGTTAGGAGTTCTGACTTACGAGAGAAAAACTCTGTCTCCGCCCAAGGAAGGCCTATCTCGCGACCCACCATCTAGCACCGGCGTCGCTGCTGGGCCAGCTGGAACACGCAACCATTCGCTGAACCTTTTCCAAGTTCCCAGATTTGCCCGCCGTGGATGGAGAAGGATTCCACGTTGAGGAGGTTTTAGTGCGGACGAGTGGCACGCACAATCCATAGCAGCAGCCTCTTGCTAGACTCAGAGGTATGTAACTACTCCGTCCATTAGTGTGTAGGAAATGTTGTGCCGATGTCAAAGCCAACTCAATTGAGGAAGGAAAGCACAAGACACAGGATAGAAATTACGGGGGGAAAAGTGTTTTCATCATAAACCATGGCCATGACCATCATCCGTGATCTCAAACTCGTGGTCCTTGTCTGGGGGAAGCAGGCTTCGACCCAAAGGGAATCTCTGCGCGAGGTTGCATCCGGCGTGCTGAACCCCCATTCCCACCCCCTCATCTTGACTGTTCCTTTTACCTAAAGATTTTCAGTCTTAGAGCATAATTCGATTAGATTCACTATCATCATCATTCGTTGCCTCTCTTATCGGCGGGCAAAGATGGTCTGTTGACAAGACACGATACATAATCTCTCGACGTGCATATGCATCTCCAGCCGTGTCTGTCGTACCTTAATCGCAGGTGGATGCGATTCATCTTTAGCGGATTTCGGAGAGGCGACACGCAGAACCCGCTTATAAGGAGGAGCTCGACGACTGGACGGACCCGAGTTTTGGTGACTCAATCGAACCGTGTTCCCGGTGGAGTCGGTCCTGGCGGCGAGCTTCCTTTTTCCTTCTTTTTCGCGATTTTGACTTTTGTGACCTCTTCCCGTCACTATCATACACACTGTACGTCTGACGCTCTAACCTTGAGGATATCAGCATCCTCAGATTTTGGGGCCGTTGAGGGTCTAACATGGCCTTCGGGAACAAGGTCAAATCCACGTCTGCCGAGGGGGAAAAGGGCAAGATGGCGCCTGAAGAGACTGTCCAGGTTCAGCCCACGAACCCTTCGTCCGACTTGAATGACATCGATTGTGAGAAACATGGCGCCAGTCGCGAGTCGAATCCCATGCCCGATCTCAAGCGGAAGCTGAGAAGTCGCCATCTTCAGATGATTGCCATTGGTGAGTCCTGCTGGCTGTCTTGAGTTCTTTCCCTTTCTTCTTCTGTCGTAAGACAGGCGGCCATTCCGCAAGTGACAACCTGCTCATTCAATTCATAGGTGGTACTATTGGCACTGGTCTGTTCATCGGTAGTGGTACTGCTGTCGCCAACGGAGGTCCTGTTGGTGCCCTCATTGCCTACATCTTCGTCGGTACGATCGTCTACTCGGTTATGACCTCCCTGGGTGAAATAGCGACCTATATTCCGATTCCTGGAGCGTTCACAGCCTACGCTGCTCGTCTGGTGGACCCCAGTCTTGGCTTCGCCATGGGGTGGATCTATTGGTTTTCCTGGGCTAGTACATTTGCACTCGAGTTAACGGCAACCGGTCTGATCATTCAATTCTGGGACGACTCCATCAATATCGCTATCTTCATCGCCATCTTTTGGGTTCTGATAACTCTATTGAATTTCCTGCCTGTCAGCTTCTATGGTGAATTGGAATTCTGGCTTTCAAGTATCAAAGTCATCACCGTTGTTGGGTTCATGATCTTCGCCATCTGCATTGACGCCGGCGTCGGTGACAAAGGGTATCTCGGATTTCGCTATTGGGTTGACCCAGGCCCCTTTGCTCCTTATTCGGGTGTCCACCCCGACTCGACAGCAAAGTTCGTCGGTTTCTGGTCCGTTCTTATCCAGGCTGGCTTTTCGTATCAGGGAACGGAACTGGTCGGTATCGCAGCCGCTGAGACAGAAAACCCTCGCAAAACGGTGCCTGCGGCTATTCGCAAGACCTTCTACCGCATTCTGTTCTTCTTCGTCCTGACCATCTTCTTCATCGGTCTTCTGGTGCCCTACACCAACGAGAACCTCCTGACCGATGGAAACGATGCTAACTCGTCGCCTTTTGTCATTGCGGCTAGGCTTGCTGGAGTTAAGGTTCTGCCTCACATTATCAACGCAGTCCTGCTGACTGTGGTGCTCTCTGCTGCCAATTCAAATGTTTACAGTGGCAGTCGTATCTTGCTTGGTCTGGCTCAAGAAGGGTTTGCCCCGCGCTGGTTCAAGAAGACTTCTAAGAAGGGTGTGCCATACTTCAGCGTTGCCTTCACGGCAGCCTTCGGTCTTCTCGGTTTCATGAATGTCTCCAATGCAGGTAGCACTGTGTTCAACTGGCTCGTCAACATCGCCGGTGTCGCAGGCTTCATCACTTGGGCATCGTTGAACGGCTGCCATCTTGCTTTCATGCGTGCCCTGAAGGCTCGCGACATCTCCCGTGACACCCTTCCTTATAAAGCTATCTGGCAGCCCTACTATTCCTGGTACGGGCTGTTCTTCAACATCCTCATTATCATCACGCAAGGTTTCACCTCCTTTATTACCAGCTTCAGCGTCACGGATTTCTTCATTGATTACATCAGTCTGATTCTCTTCGTCGTGCTCTATGTTGGCCACAAGATCTACTTCCGGACATCTTTTGTCCATCCTCTTGAGGCTGATATTGATACGGGCCGCCAGGAGGTCGAGAACGAAACGTGGGAAACGGAGGCTCCCGCCACGAAATGGCACCAGAAGCTTGCACGCTCATTCCTGGGCTGAGAGGATCGCGACTGGGCATCTCAGTACAGGCCCGTCGTTACACCACTTGTGCTTCTGCTTTTTTATTGTCTTGTTTTAATTCTCCCATATTCACGCCATACCTCTCCTCGGTTGATAGAGAGAGAGGTATCCCTATTGCTTCTACATTTGAACCCTTTGGTTAATACATATGGCGCTTAGAAGTTGGGGTTCACGCATATACACATCTGCTGAGACAGCTGTTGCTTGTCGGTATATATAAAAAAAGAGAGAAAGAGAGAGCGAGAGAGCGAGACGGATCTGCATGAGTTGATGATGAATGAGGGTCGGATGGGTGTCTTCCTCTTGATTATGAGGGCTTTTGTCTATATCTTTGGGTTCAACGGTCGAGCCTCTTCTGTACAGTATACAAGTTGGGATGTCAGCATTGGCATGGAGTTTGGTAAATGGTTTTTACTGTCGAACGTCTTGTTCGAACTGACTGTGGTCTAACTTTCCTGGAATCGAAAGTTTGCAATTAATCGACGTACTCTTGAATCTGCAGTGTATCTTATACTATATGTTAAATGGGTCGTAGCTTTATTTGTTTCACATACATGCTACTAGTAGCAGTAGCCGCCGTTGAGCAGATACATTATACTAGTGGATAATGGGTTAGTGGCAGTGATACGGCCAGGGTTAGACACTGCGTAGTGCCAGTAACTACTAGTACTAAGTAAGTACCATTCTAGGATTTATTCAGTAGTGATGCTGATTAATTACCGAGAGCTCTCGAGCTACGAGAGTATATACGTCACGAAAGTTCACACGATTACTTCACAGAAAATAGAGGATAGATCGGGGAGACCAGTCGGCACTGTATCCTCAAATCTTCACATGGAATATATACTTACACGTGACGGACTAGGAGGCGAATATGAGCCAAGGTCGGATCAGAGGGGCTTTTTAACTTACGTTGTCGGAGGCATCGGTTAAGCCAAAGAGCAA